GAAAAGCAACTGATAACTATGTGTTTATGGGAGAAACTCAGTTCAAATAAACATTTTTGTTGTTTTACATCAAATCGCAACCATAATTGACATACCACATTCAGTTGTCAAGTTACTTCATCAAATACACAATACAGAGTTAATGCTTTGGCAGTGAAAGCAGTACAAACATTGTTAGAAATTAGAAATTTTTGTTGAAAATCTAAACATTTTAACCTACGGTAAGTTTATAAATGTAATGTGTTTACGTTTAAGTTTTGCTGCCATCTGAAGGCTGGAATTGGGAAACTACAACTAAGTTAACATTTTCCATAGATATCTAACCACTTATGTTACACATTATATTAAAGGAAAAAGGGAGAATGAAAGAGTTACAATGAAATAGATACAAATATTTTATTAAAATATTACCACTCAAAACATAAAAATAAAGGTGTATCAAAATCCTTTGTTTATTTTTTGTTTGTTTTTGTTTTTTGTTTTTTTGTTTTAGAATTCAGAGCAAATCTCTAGCCACCCTGCAGAGAAAACTCATTTCAGCCACTTTTATCCGGGATCTTGTGCTTTTGGTTATGATCCAAATTTAATGAACATAGCTGAAGGTAGGAAGGTAGACCGACTGGTGAATCGAAACTTTTGCCTTTTTTTCAAGCTCTCTCTTCACCTCAAGAGACCAGTGCAGGGTCTGCATTAAACCAGCAGCCACAATGATCCAATTCCAACATTTTCTAAGACCAACAGCGCTGTAGGAACTAAAAGGGAAATTGTGGTTAGAGAGGAACAGCCTCATGTCTGAGTCCTCCAGATGAAGCTGTAAAAATCACTGCTTTATTTCAGTACCATGCTTCTACAATCTTAGTTGAAGAAAGACAAACATGAGACTAGAGGGTCCTGAATTATTAACCAGCTGTCTCACCATTGGGCTTGTCATGGCAACCAGGAACCCATTTTGTTGTGTAAGGCCTGACTGAGGAAGATTATGGGATTCATCAGGATTAGAAACAGATTCCTGGCCAAAGACAATGCCCTTATCAACCTAAAATTCTACTGATATATTTTATTTATTCTGTTACGCCAGAACATGGAGGAACTTTGCATGTTGGCGCAGCATTTGATGAGGTTTTTGCTAAGCACAGACAAAAATCCAATGGCATCTTTTCAATGTGTTTCACCCTGCTAATTTGATATGGATGTTTCTGACAGTGACCAGAGTTGTCCGATTGAGCCTGTTGTCCTACCAAATGCTCTATAGATGTCATATGAAGGCGAGATTAAAAACAATGTTCATTGGGGGATCCAGGCTGGCCTTTATGTAATGTCAAGGACCAACTTCAAGACTTAAGGGTCTTA